CTTCTTTCCTACAATTTAGGTGTATTACAGATTTGTTGAAGGGTAATTTCGTCACGAATTTATAGGGGTAATGGTAGGATAAATTTACCTATTTTTATGGGGAGGGTAAATTTGTCTACATAAAATCACGTAGTTCAACTCTAACTGTTCTTTAGTTATTTTTCTGATATCTGATTATTTTGGCCATTTTTCAAATCAAACTATTTAATTTAGCCATTCCTCTAGTTGCCCCTTGATTGAAGCCAACAAAATGGAGGAGCAAATTTATTTTTCCTATCAGAGTATCTATCTCTCTAACATGGGCCTTACCAATTGTATTTGGGCTCAAGTTAGTAATAGAAATGGGCTTTCACTTGGCCCAGTACAATATCTTTTTTTTTTAACGTATATTGCTGTTTGATGGTCGACATGTCGGCAAACTTTCGATATTTTGAGAATTTGTCGACAAGTCGTCGATACAGGGGTAAAAATGATTTTTCTCCTGTACTGTCGTGTCGGACCACTCGACATGACGACATATCGAGCTAACATGTCATCATTTTTCAGTATGGTATAAAATATGCAATGTCCAAAGAAAATATTTACCAATTCAACAATTTCTTAAAAAATGTAAAGTGCCACAATTTCAATAATCAAGTTTATCTATGATTTTGCCTGTAAAAATTTGTGTAACAAAAAATAGACTACAATTTAAATTAGGAGATAAAAAGCTTTTTAATTGTAGCGAATATCTTATTATAAATAATTCTAACAAATTTAGGAAAGAAAGATGAATTTGTCTATTATCGATATGGGTATGACTGATAATGTTTTTTTTTTAATCTATTATTTTAAAGAACCAAATTTTATTTTTAAAAAAAATCTTGATAAACTGTGTAATAACTATCACGTATAATTTTATTTGTTAATTATAAAAATGAAATATAAAGTTATGGAGAAATATTTTAAAAACATCTATATAAACCAGAGAGAAAAATGTAATGTTTGGTAGAGATTATATAGAGATATCTACATATACAGTGACAACTAGAAAATGAAATTTATTTTTAAGCCAGTTTTTGCTCTTAATTTTTGTTTATAATTTTAAAAACATTTTCAAAAGTTAAAAAATAAAAAGTTGAATAGTTAATCAGATAATTCAATTTTTAAAACCAAAAATTGAAATTGAATTGTTACCAAAGACCACCACATTTACTTACTTATTCTGTCAAAAAAAATTACAATTTGAAAACATTCTTTAAAAAAGTTTAAAACTGAAAACTAAATGAATTATCAAATAAAACTATTTTTCAAAAATTAAATATTTAAAATTAAGTTCTCAATGACGATTTTGTTTTTAATTTTCTATTTTAAACAAATATGCTTGGTTACATTCCTCACCATTTATTTATATATTTTTCATCTTTATAAAAATACATTTGAATTTTTAAACATATTAAAAAAAAGTTTTTGAAAACTATTCTTTCTTAAATTTTTTAAATTTAGCTTATATTTTTAAAATGCTTTAAAAAAAATAAGACAACAAAATAAAGAACACGAAGGGAAAGTAGTATTAATAAGTTTAATTTCCTACAAAAAGTAAAATAGCTAAACATGTAATATAGAATTTTGGATTGATTACTGATTATAGAAAACAAACCTTAAATTTTATCAATCAAAACCTATGATTCTTTTTTCATTTTCTTTTATTTTCCTTCTTGGGAGGGCAGTCCAAAATCTATTAAATTCTTTTAGTTTAGGTCATTTTTGTTATAATAATAATAATAATAATAATAATTTCCTCAGCAAAAAAAATAAATAATAATAATAATAATAATAAATCCTACATAAAATGTAAAAAGAATATCCAAGATATAAATTTAGCTATTTAAGACCTACTCAGTAATGTTTCCATTTGATAAGCATGGTAATTTCTACATCCCATCCTCCCAACAAGGAAAAGGGAAAAAAGGAAAAAAAAAACATTAAATAAGAATAAAATTAGTTTGATAGAATTTTTTT